CCCCAAAACCCCAAAACCCCAAAACCCCAAAACCCCATAAAATATTATTTATTTTATAAAATGGATTCTAAAAAGGTGAAGAAAAATGCACTATTGAAGCACTTGTCAGGGGGTAAAGAGGAAAAGAAGAAGCAGAAAGGTAATTTCTTTAATGATCAAACCAATTACAGACTTTCTGCCACAAGGAGAGCACTTCAACTGCTACACTGACAACTATCTGATTCACACTTTGAGTGATAAAGCTTTTATGACTCAATGGTTTGTTGATAACGAGTCAGATTACGTTGATATGTCAATTACAGTACGTTTTCTCTCTAAACTCATAGGCACTGAGACGCAAGAACGGAACTGCTGACTCCTCAGTAGCCCAACCTGCCTCACCCTCAAAGGAAAGTGGAATTATAAAAGATAAGGATTTTAAACTAGTATCCAACTTCCAGGGGGAAGAAGAGGACTTTGAAATTTCTGAGACTAAAAAGGATGAAATACTTAGCTTAGAGATTGATGCTAGCAAGAACGGAAATTATAACATGATAACCACCTCTTCTAATAACATTGAGAGAAGTTTTAATGATTTCATGCTCCTAAGGAAAGCTCTTGTTCAAAATTTCCCAGGATGCTACATCCCAAAAATCCCTGAAAGGAGAGCAGGAGTTGAGGTCCTTTCTCAGACCAAGGAGGAAGCTATGGAGCTCAAAAGGATCCAACTAGAGGACTTTATTAGCAAGCTTGGTTCGATTTCCCACTTAAGCTCAAGTGATATCTACAAATCATTTGCTAACTCCAATGCCAATGTTAACAAATCTCTGAAAAGATATCTAAATCCAACTAAATAAGCAAATTCTTGATAGATATAAGGAAGTTTTCTTCAATTTATACGACAAAGAGATCAATGGAGACCTGATCGATAAAATAGAGAAGTTTAGCGAGTCCCTCAAATGAAGGCTCCCAGTACTGAAGAAATTTAGACTATCTATTCGCAAATAACATTGAAGACTTTAGAGCATCTTATAACAAGGTCAGCGAGTTAATGACAACACTTGGAGAGTTTGAGGAGTTGTTCTTGGATTATACAAAAGATATTGCACAGTATGATAATGTGAATAAGGCTGACTCGTTTGCAGATAATTACGGATCTCGCTTCGGTGTCTTCGAAGAACTCCAAACTGACCAAGCCTGCCCCTACTACGAACTCGATGCCTTCATCAACAACGACATTGCTGACTATGAAGCCTTCATCGATGCCATCAAGACTCAGACCCAGTATCTGACTGACCGCAAAACGGTGAGGTACCAGCTCGACAAACTGATCCAGCAGTTCAACTCGCTCGACTTCGCAGCTGCCAAAGACGACAGAGTCCGGAAGATGCAGACCAAGATCGAAAGCCTTGAGATCGAGTTCAACGAAATGGATATCATCTGAAACATCATGCTGGTCGCCATGGGGTACTACGAGATCGAGAGGTTCGAGATCGAGAAGTACAGGCTATACTGAGAGGCAATAGCAAAGTTCTCTAAACAAGAAACCGCCAATGAAATTGAAATTTTAGGGTTTTATCAATACCTCAAGAACCTGAGTAAAATCTCTTCAAAATCATAAAATTAACCATCATTCAATTCTTTACCAAAAAAAGGGGTTTTGGGGTTTTGGGGTTTTGGGGTTTTGGGG